TTCAAAATTCAAACAAAAATACTTGACATTAGAGCCACAAGATTTCATACCTACTGAAAGTATATGTTATTAGAGCCACAATATTTAAAGAAAAATAACACTTTTACAGCCCTGGCAGGCTCCATTCTTGCCAGTTGACAACCTCTTCCTCTCCTTCATTCTCCATGCACTCTCCATTTATCACTTTCCACTTTTTCTGAAGCATATGCTCTCAGTCTCATACAGAGTGCAGATTAATATGTACTATAATATTTTTAATTAAAAAGGCCTCATTTGGTTAGAAATGAGCTTATCTTATCATCCAAATAGTTTAAATAAATATGGATTCTTCTAAATACACACCTTTTTAGCGCATTTTCTCATTTATGGAAAATGTGCACTATTGTGCTTGCCGTGTCCATCCGTCCTTCTGTGACTTAACGTTTTCACCAATGAGAAAATGTGCTCTCTGTCACTCACTGCAGTGAGTACTGAGTTATATTTTTTATTCTTACATCTATAATTTTTTTCCATTTTTACTCATGTCATGTTCTCACCATTAATTTCTCTCCTGTGCAGTCATCTTCAGGAGCTGGTTTTTAGTCAACTTCTTCCGTCTGAAAATTTTTATGTCGATTAATGAAAACCAGTTTCATGGCCAAGGCATGCTATTGTGAAGTCAGTGTTTAACATAATTCCTGCTTGTAAATTTTGCCATATAAACAAGGGCACACCTTAACTTTACCCAATGACAAGTGATTCATCAAGCTTGAAGTTACCAATGATGAATGATCTGAAGTTCTGAACTATGGATAGAACTGCATTACAAAATTTGGTTTGTATTTCTCTGATATTTCATTTTATAAATGTGTAAAAAAAAACTTTTTGATTAGAAAATTTGAATCAGTGGTTACAGTTCATAGTACCAGGATTGGAGCAGAGAGGTGCAGGTTTGATCCCAGCTCTGTGTGTCAGTTTCTGGTCAGATTTGGTGAGAAGCAAAATTGGAGCAGCAAGTTGCATGTTTGAGACCACAATAAGCTGTGAATGTTCTGAATATTAAGAGTCAGTGACAGGCCTATGGCCTAATAATGGCTGAAACAGCTATTATTATTATATTATTATATGAGCCTTACCAATATGTGCATTATTACTTTTTCATTGTTATGTTATTAATAAATATTTACATTGAGAATTATTGAGATGCTATTAATTAATTGTGTGTATTAAAAATTTAATAATATAATGGAATCCTTTTGTAAATTTCAATAACTAACAATGAAAAATGTTTGCTTGATATTGAATTGGACCTTCTCTTGTTATTGGTAAATTATAGATTATATAATTCATAATTGAGTTGTGCCAGGAAATCTACTGTAAGAATGCTTGGATTTCCATGCACAATTCCAATATTAGTTTGTGTGAGAATGGTTTTAAAGTTCAATGCCATTCACCCAGCAGCATTTTTAAGCCACTTATTAGTGAGTCAGTTCTTTTGAGATAAACCTCAAAAGAGCAACTGGATGCCTCATCCTCATAGCATATCCTCAGGATATGCCATGCCTCAGCAACTTGTATGTCTACATAGCATATCCTGCATATAATGCTCCAAAGAACTTATCATCTATATAATGTGATTACTTTGTGTTTTCTTTTGTATAAATTAAATTAATATAGTTTTTTTAGTCATTTTATCATTGTTACAGATAAAGGAGGTGGAAACTTTGTCCCAAGATGCTCAAGCCAAGACAGGGCCCAGAGAAAGTGCAGAAGTAAGTCTCAATGTGTGTGTTTGGACTTCGAAGTACCGTACCAATGTCAAAAAATATTTATCAATATTAAAAAATGAATTGAAAATATTTTTCATTTTAGCAATATTTGTTCAATAATATCTACTTATTTTGTAAAATTCTGTTGCAATGCTTGCATACTATAGCTGATGAACTTACATATATATAACCATTTTTATTTGAAGTTCAAATTTTTTCTTTTTTTATGTATGAAATGTAGGGGCTAAGAACTCTTAAAACTGAGCAGTTTTTGTTATATATCATCAGTATCATGTGATCATCTAAAAGTGCAGCACATATTTAACTGAATATATGTTCTTTCTTCCATTCTCTCAATATATATTGATTTTACTTATAAGCTCCTAGGTACTGCAAATGATTCATCAGATTCAAATAACTATCCTATGTATTATTTTATGTATAAATAAAATAAATTCATTTATTCAGTGCTGCCACTAACTCTTAGTTTTGAGTCATGCTTTGTTTGTTGATTCTCATTCTTATTCAGTTGGTGTGTCCCTAACAGAAATTGACTTCACTTGCGTAGGAACTCTTAATTCTTTGTTCTCACTTTTAATTGAACTCCTGAATAAAGTGAAAGGGTTAACCACAACTGCAGTTGTTCTTAGCCAGGTCTCCAAGCATGTGCTGTTTAGGCTTGGCTCAGCTTCACTTAGTATAGTATCTTCGGCATTAAAGAATAGGCCTGGATAGGCCTATTCTTTAGGCACTTGATGATAATTAATACTCAGCTTCTCTTCAACCCAGATAATTAATATTGTGCTTTACTCTGACCTGAATTTAATACGTGAACTCTCTGAAAAGTCTCTCACTTTCTATTTAAGAACTGCCTAGTTTGGCAACTTAGCTGCTCATTCCATAGCTACAAAGTTTATTTTTCCCTTCCTAGATTGATTGCCTCATAGAACTGAGGGCAAGATTGTTTGCATAGTAAATTTTCAAATATTGCTGAATCCTTGTTTCTTTTATGAATAGGTTTTTTAATATGCTGTTCTTGTTTCTGTGAGTTTTCTATGATATTTCTCCCATTTGTTTCTGACACATTATTTTTTTGTCATTTTTGATTCAAGCTTCTTGGCTTTCTTCTAAATCAGAAAGCTGTTGTTGTAAAGGCATTGGTGATGTTGCTTTGCAGCGCTTATGTTGCACACGTTGGAAGTACTGAGGCTGCAATAACGTTGCTGTGAGATGTTGAACAATGTTTTAATGTTTAATTAGATGTTTTAATTCAATATGCATCTCTCAACCAAAATTCAAAATTCAAGCCATAAATTCTACAGATGTGCATAAATGCATGCCACATAGTAGCTTCAAGCTTAGAGCTACAGCCCCAAGATGCTTTGAGCAATAATAGAGATCACAAGATATTATTCTCAATTCTTTGATTCTTCTGCACTAATCTTTACTTCTTTGTAGGAGAAAAGTGTTTGGGTTATTAGCAGAAGTTGTATAGGAATTTGTTTGGACTAATCTTGGTGACTTGGGCAGGTGAAGCAACAGCTGCAGCAAGTGACCGATGAGCTAGTGTACGAGTTGAAGAGTTTACCAGAGAACAGGGTAATTATTAAATTTGAGTTGAAGAGTTTACCAGAGAACAGGGTAATTATTAAATTTGAGTTGGAGAGTCTGCCAGAGAACAGGGTAATTATTAAACTCGAGTTGGAGAGTCTGCCAGAGAACAGGTTAATTAATGAACTCGAGTTGGAGAGTCTGTCAGAGAACAGGTTAATCATAAAGCTCGAGTTTAACTATCTGCTGGAAAACCGGGTAATTATTGAAATCTTGTTAAACAGTCTGCCAGAGAACAGGGTTATTATAAAAAGCTAGTGGAAGTGTCTGCCAGAGAGAATGGGTACTTGTGAAGCTCTAGCTTATTATTTAATTTTTTTAATATGTTGTATTGCCATGGATCAATAATCCAGGAATAATTGAAAGATGCCTCTTTTAGTGAACAAATTTGCTACCAAATTTCATCTTCAGTTTCTTATCTCTTGGTGAGTGCTGGAATAATTCTTAAACTATTTCAAACCTTGATTGTAAAATGAGTTGAGTGAATGTAGCTTTTGATATTTGAATGTAATCTTATAAACATATTTGTTACATTTCTTGGGTGTTTTTAAAGCCTTGCACCATCAATGTTTAGGGGCTGTCAGGGCGGACCTGAAATATTACATGCCCTAAAACTCCATCCTAGTGGGAGAATAGGAAAGATTGAAATTGTAATTTGATTTTTGCAATTGGTGCAAACAAATAATATTTGAATAACGCAAGCCTTTCTTCTATATTTTGAAACAAAAATAAATGGGAGTCCTATCTTGCATGTAAAATAAGGATTTTATGGGGTCTTTATTAATTTAGAAAACATTACCTTTATCATCATGAACGGCATTAGGGATTACAGGAATGTCGAGAATTAATATTAAAAATTGCAGGAATTATCAAGTCCTGGGTAGCCTGCTAGTAATATTATAATCCCTATATCTGATGCTGTGTACTTGTGCTGCAGCTCGTGTACCGCCAGCTGCACTCGGACTGCCGCGTCTTCGTGCCGCTGGCCCACAAGCTCGCCTTCCCCTTCAGGACCGCAGATGTCATCAGGGACGCGGTCGTCCGCAACGCACGCCACCCCACTTAATCTATCGTCATATTTGTTCAATAGATTTATTTAACCATTTGTCTACGTATACATTAACCGTCTTCAATGCCATTCGTATCTTAATACTCGTTCAATGAACTTGCCGTCAATCAATATAGTATATACGCCGTCAGTAAATATAGGGTTATGATGGGGTTTGTGCGTTTGTTTGTCATTCCACGCACTTGCGTTAAGTACAATGATTCATTTCCTTCGTCTCTAGATGCACGCTACAAATTTCTAGCCGTCAATTCCCACAGACTTGTTCAATTAATTGGCCCACCGAGCTCCAGTGCGTGCCTGGTCTGCAGAGACACAGCAACATTTCATTTGGTATAATAATTTCATAACGAGAACAAATACGCGACCCATTGAAGATGTGTGAACTGTGATATTACGGAAAATAGATTGAATATAATCTACAGATTTTCTACATTACATCCCCGTAAATAATGATAATCTTAGCTCGGGATAGCTGGTAAGTTCTCGTGAACTCTCAAGTTGTATTTTCTCATGCCTGCACTGACAGTTCATTTTAATTTGAAGTGAAAATCTTGGGGGTACCAAAAACTTTGTGATCATCTTTTGTATTCAGAAACCGATGAAGGAAGGTACGAAAGTAAGTGAAAAAGAACATCACGACGAACGCTCACAAGTTTGATTGCACGAAAACATTGCTACTTGCTAGTAATGCAGGCATGCATCTTTAGAATTATATATATTATAAAATGGTTCATCTGCGCAAAATCTTGATATCGCAAAGTGCGTGCCTTTATTATATCCATAGAATATTTTAAATGCTATTTCAGTTTATCCGTCTTGACAGTGTTTCCTCAACTAGTCACTTCTGTATTTAGATTACATCGCTATAAAACAATGCGGGGATGGTGACTAACTAGTTGACTAGTGAAGAAAATCTAAGCTAACACATTACTACCAATGTCTCCTTAACAATGAAAATCTACTGTAACTCACGGTACATGTCAGCTTAAAATGTTACTCGATAGGGCAAATGGCGCCAACCCTTGAACCATGCGGGTGCAGCAGGAACTGCGATGATCACGTAATGCATAAAAAAGCATCATGAGTCTCAACTTACGTGATGTACACGTGATGTATCCTGGCAGCAAACACTTGTTGATGTATCAAGTCTGTCAATTTAAGCAAGAAAAGGAAGCAGTGGATAACCAGCTTTACAATTCATCAAGGTCATGACATCGAAACAGACGGCAAATACGCACACCTTAGAGTAAACGTCAACTTACGACTCGTGCGGAATCTTATCGAGCTACACAGTTTCAGAAAAAACTTCACGTCAAGAAACACGATTGATCAAAATTAACACAAAACCACTGCATGCGTAATGTCTCTTTGGTCGGTTTCTTAGGTCGGCTAAGATACCTGTCAATAATCGCAACACAAGTCAGCTAAGACACCTGTCGACAATAGCAACACAAGTCAGCTAAGATACCGGTTCATAAGATACCGGTGATAATAGCAACACCAATACTGAGTGCTAATTAGTGTTGCAACGCGTTACTGAGTACGGATAAAATGTTACAACCAGACATTTACAAGCGAGTGCATGTCTGATGGAGGAATGCGGGAGTTCATGTCTGAAAAGAGGGGAGTACACGAATGTCTTATTTAGCTACGCCATAAAAAATTGCACCAATCGGAAATTCTGGTTAACCAATTAAGCAACAAAAATCAAAAGCTTACTCGATAAATAAATGCAATACAAATAAATGATTAAAATACTATATTGAATATGAATTCTACATTCAGCTGCCTGTAGAATGGCGTCCTAACACTCACGGAGACATACAACATTTGTACAACACAGTAATTTCTAACCCATACTCTACTAAGTATTTGATTGCTATTCACCCGAATAAGACAAATACAGCCTACGAACCAGGCTACTGTAATGAATCTGCGCCTGTAGCTACAATTACGTCAAGCTCGGGACAATGGGGGTGCGTGCTGCTGTGGGTATTTTGTCCAGAATTTTCCAATTTAAATGGATATTGAAGTTTTAATTCCCAACGATATCCTCTTGGAACTTATTAGCTTTCTTACAAATAATCTCCAGACTCGGTTGGAGTCAGTTTAACCACTTACCCATACAGTGTCAGCATTTTATACTCACGTTCACAAAGTCAATCCCCAATTTATGCCACATTCACCACATTAACCTCCAGTTCGTACCCTATTCACCACATCAATCCACTCAAACTCATTTCAAATACACCAAATTGACCCCCCCCCAACTCATGCCACATTCACCAAATGGACCCCAACTCCTGCCACATTCACCACATTATTCTCTGGGGCTCAGCGAAGTCTTTCCACCAGAACGTCTTGGTGGCAAAGATGGCGAGCGTCGCCAGGTTGATGGTCAGATAGTAGAGGAACTCCCAGCCAATGTGCGCTACTGGCATGTATTTGACGATGCTGCGTACCTTGCCTCGCAGGTACTTCAAGATACCATGCATAAAGTACCAGCAACAATACAAGTTTTTAAAGTGCCCGCGATAGTTGGAATTTCTACCAACTCCTCTGGTGGATGAGGTCCCTGATTGCCGGCAGAGGGGCGCTCCTCTGAAGCCATCCCGACCAGAAAGATGTCTGGCGGAATTAAAGTCCACTCTAGAGTGACTTCCAGTCATTCTATTCAAATGGGCTCCCGTTCTTGCTCCTTCAGAGGGAATTCTCGTTGAACTTTCCCCTTGTAGGCAGGGAAAACGGGCACTGGCGGAATCTCCATCTGAAGCATCGAGATTATTAAAGCCGAAGTTAGGGCTGTTCTGGATGCGAGCGATGATGAAAGGCAGGATGAAGTAGCGCGGCTCGAGTAACTTCTGCGGCACGAGGCAGAGTGCAACACAAAACACGTAGATCATCTTGAACACGTTAGACCGTTGAGCTAAACTCACGTACCAAATGAGGTATGCTCCGTACATGTAGATGGGAGAAATCAAGTATCTAAAGTAGATGTTGGGTCCGTAGAAACGGTTCCATAAGTAGAATGTGTAGTGACGGTTGTCTGCCAGTAGATACGGGTGCACCAGCGTGTTGTAGTGCACCACACTCAGCACTGTGATGAGCGCCAGGGCGGTGGTCTGTGCGGTAAACATCATAGATTAATTACAGTAATTAATTACATAGATTACTTACGAGAAATATAGCATGATTACATAGATTAATTGATTACATAGATTGCATGATTACATAGATTAATACAAGAAATATAGCATGATGTCTCAATAACAAAACAGATTCTCAATGATCTTTACAATCGAGGAACAGATTTAAATGAATAGTCGACTCCGTAAGAAGTTATGAATTCATAATAATTGAATTAATATCATACTAATTCATTCATTATTCAATAGAAGGGTATTTGAACCTTAGGATTTGCGCAGCAGCGGGACACGAACGGCAGGAAGTGGTTGAGCGCAAGCAGCGGCGAGAACAGCACGTAGAACAAGCAGAAGTAGAACATCTGCAAACAAATGAGAACAGCGCGTAGAACAAGCAGAAGTAGAACATCTGCAAACAAATGAGAACAGCACGTAGAACAAGCAGAAGTAGAACATCTGCAAACAAATTGAGAACAGCACGTAGAGCAAGCATAAGAAAATCTCCGTATGCATGCATCCATTACTTGCTTCTATACATCACTAGGGAATGGTTCTTCAACAAAAATCATATAGGACTACAATTATTAAATGATTATCACAATAATTTATCAACATTCAATTGTTTGGGCCCACTTCATATTTCTTGAATATTTCTAAACCAAATTCTGTGATAATAACTTGGCAACATACAAGTCTACACAGCCAGACAAGACGGACCATAAGTGCCCCTCGCCCCACTCGAAAAACCTGCCGTGCCCCCACAGACCTGCATGAGGTGGAGAGTGGGCTGGTGGGCGGTTCTGTCGCCCACCACGAGGCCGCCGTTGACGCACGCGAAGACGGCGAAAGCGACCATAAGCAACACGTAGGACAGACATGCACGCACCAGCTGCACCACGAAGCGCACCACGCACGCTGGCCCTGCGCGGACCAGCGTCTCAATGCGCCGCGCGAACATCTGCACGAGACGGTGGCAATAATGAAGTGATGCGTCGCGCACACTGCGAGATCGTGGTTAACAATTAAATGGGATCAAGTGATGCATTGATGCTCTCCCATGCAGAAAAGTTATTTCCCGAGAGATTACAATGTAACTGAAATCCTCATGTAATCAAAATAACCTCATTTGATTCGGAATAAAGCCAACACGCAGTGAATTAACGCAGCGTATTGACTGCCACATAACTGTGTAGCAGAATCAATATATATACATCTAGAGTCCGCTTGCTGAGCGATGGCGCACCCACCAGGAATTGCTGTTTGGTGTGCAGGGTGTGCAGAGGAGGGCAGAAGGACTCCTGTAGGAGGGCTAGGGACGCGTCCACTGCACGCAGCAGCAGCAACAGCAACACCCACACGATGTTCGTCTGACGGGCGAGGATGCTCACGGCCCCTGGTCGGCAGTGAGCTCATTCTTAGTTCAATATTAACCAGATTATTTATTGAGATTATTTAATGTTCATGCATTCACTCTGGTTCATCATAAGGCTGCTCATTGCGCCAGCAGGCAATGAGTCATTCAAAATTTCTCTTAGACATCAACAAAATTTCAAATCCAAATTCAGTTAAAACGAAATTCATTTTCAAATGAATAACTTCCACATTGCAATAATCTGCTGACTCATAAAAAGAGACATTCCTTTAGGAATTGCAAAGATGTGAACATAGACTAACCAGAAATACCCCATGCATTAAACAATCAAACAGTCACCGGCGCCACATTTCTGCAATGTTGTATCAACACAAATACATACCTATATATATATATACTTGCAACACAAATATATATTCTTGCAGCACAAATAGAGATACTCGCAACACGAAATTTCTTCACGTTAGTACAAGTGACTAAGAACCCACCAATAGCAGCGGCCATGTTATGGTTTTTGTGGCAGAAGAGAAGTACCATGATGAGCACCAGCATCGTGGAGAGTGGTTCTGTGTAGTACAGCGAGTAGAACCAGAAGAGAGGAGGTAGGAGAACCATCGATACTGAGGCTCCAAGGCAGGACCACTCACTACTCTGTAATGCAAATCAAGCTACACTTCATACTTACACTCGAGAATATCTTCATGCTGGCATAAAACATTTTTTTGGGGAGGAGGGGAACAATTTGTGAACAAATACTTTACAGTAAATTTTTGGATCAAAATATATCATAATCAATCACACAAACAGTTTATCGGCTTTATTGATGAGAGATAATTTTCAAACATTCTTCCAGATCCATGTCCTTGCCTATTTAAATGTCAACTTCTAAATACATTTGAGACACTACTTGATGAAGGATGTGGCATTTAATTCCTGAACGTATCATTTAATATTTAGATGTTAAGTAAAGAATGGTCTTTGTTTACCAGTGAAGATTATACAATCATGATTTGTTACCATTTTGTGTTACCATTTTGTCTAAATAATTTAACCAAGTTTTAATTCAAATAAAATAGAAATAAAGTATGGCTGCCAATAAACCATTTCTGTTAAAAACTGCATAAAATTCAACATGAGAGTGATTTTTAGTAAAACAGAGTAATTGTAGTAAATAAGAGTGATTTAAAGTAAAATTTTAGTATGGTTTTTATTGGAATTTTTTGTTATGGTAGTATCTTCAGATGCTGTACAAGCAGCAAAAGCACAGCTGAGAAAATACAATCTAAATTGCTAACACAATTACCTGTGTGCCATGCATGAAGCACATTAAGCTGTGTAGAGTGAGGAGGATACACGGTGCAACAAGCACGTTTACAAGACGCAACATCAATACACTGCAGATCGTGTCATCTTCACCTGATTCTGACACATCTTTATTCTTCACTACATCCTTATCCTTGAAAATTGTTTTGTCACTTTTAATAAATTGGCCATTATCATCTTCATTGAGGTTGTTGGACCCAATAAACTTATCATCAGGGCTGCCAAATAAATTTTGGTCGCCAGGGTCAACAATTAATTCTGGGTCTGAATTCATTTTGCCAGCACCTGACATCTTTCCATCTCCCTTGCCAAGTATCCAGGATATGGGTCCAGTGATCCCAATGCTGAAGAGGTACAAGCCAGGTAATGTTGTGAGCTTCGGGTCCCACTGCAAAATGGATTGCAATCAAATAAAAAAATGTCTCATATCTTCCACTAAGGAGAAATTAACTTTATTTAAGAAGCAATCATCATCAATCATGCATAATTAGTTAGATTTAGCTTCACTTGCTTACTACAAAAATGGACAATCAAGAAACCCATCATGTAAAAACAATGGAAAAAGAACAACAAATACATCAATTAGGTAGGAGTGTAATAAAATATATTAAATTGAAGACCATAAAAATAATCTTTATCTAAACATTAAACTTCAAACAAACCTCATCAAATTTGCCACTGCAATATTTTTGTGCTTGTGGGATGTGAAAAGCTTCATCAACCACAGGGCTGGGTTGCAACCGGTAGACTACAACCATATACAGGTATGTTACTGAGAACACGGCTGCAACCACACCAAATACAACCACTGCAGGCACTCGATAGTTACAATATTTTCTATACCAACGGGCATGGTAATTATTTAACATGCCAATTGTTTCATTGTTAAAGTTCTCAGATGGATTAGCACAGTTATTGCCATGTAATAGGTTGCTTGGTGGGTTGTTATAGCCATTTTGTGGTGAATGGTTGTTGGAAAAGTTGCAGCCACTCATAGGCAGGTTGCTGGTGGTGCTGGTTGAGGAGACAGCATCACAATGCATTGTCGAGTAAATCTGGTGGCAAGAGCAAAAAAGGTCAATAGGATAAAAGCTACAATAAGTTAATGAACTGTTTTAGTAACAGACACAATAACTCTTTCTTTCATGGGGAAATCTAACAAAATAAAACACATCACTTACTACATGAAAAAAATTTCCTTATACAATTTTCAAAATGGTTATAAATAAATTTACTTGCAAGGTAGCAAGCAAGCACTGTTCGTCGAAAGTAATTTAAATTTTTTGTAGTTATTAAGCTCTATCTCAATTACGATTCCCTCTAAATTATATTTAACATTTCATTGGCAAATATACACAAATTAAAAAAGTTAGCCTCCAATTTGAGAATATATTAAGGAATAAATAATCTGATAGAGAACAAAATCAACAAACCTGGCTGAAATTGTCATCACTTGACTGAGATGTTGGTTGGAAGTGTGCTTCATGAGTCATTCTATGGTGACACACATGCTGATGGTTGACATCACCAGGGAGGAGGTGCAGAGGCTCAAAAGGAGACTGGCGCGGCTGCCCACTGTGGTGATAGTGGCACTGGGAGTCACAAGCACCAGGATATGGAGAGTATGGAGGTGGCGGACTTCGGTTAGATGACCTCATTTTCAATTTAGGTCAACTTTGTTCATGACTTTTCTATTAACAAGTGGCTGTATCCATATACTAAAATTATCACAACTAATCCATAAAATTCATTTTCAATCAATCCCTGCTCTGAAAGAGATGTAAGATGTAAGTAAAACAGGCAGTAATTGTGATCATTATCTATGGCCAGAGGTGGGCAGTAGCACGCTACATGTAGCGGCCGCTACATTTTCAGTAGAGGTAGCGGCACTACATTTAAGGCTATGTAGCGGGAGCGGTAGCGCCCGCTACATATTTAAGTAGCGATACGAGGTTTTGCCGCTACAGCGCTACCGCAAAATTTATAGATAAAGCCTTTAGATTTTACTTAATAGTATTAAATATTATTTAAAAACCAGCATGATACATACATAATATAAATTACAGAATAAAACTGTACGAAAGAGTTCTGTGTAATGTTGTCAACCTCAGCCTGTTTACGCCGATATTGTATTGCTCACACTGTATCTGACCCTTTTCGCCCTCAGGCTAACGGTTGTGCTGAGCGAGCGGTGCAGGTGGCTAAGAGGCTCCTGCAGACGGACGACCCCTTTGCATCTCTCCTGGCCATCAGGAACACCCCGTTAGACGTGACCGGCTGCTCCCCGGCCCAGTTGTTGATGGGTAGACGCACACGGAGTACGTTACCCGTATTGTCAGCCGAACTTGCCCCAAACTGGCCAGATTTCTCCAGAGTATGAGATAGAGATTCAACCGCCAAGGTGAAGTCTGAAGAAAGTTTCAAGAGACAGCACGGTGCCAGACCGCTGACGGAGCTGAGAGATGGTCAGTCCGTCAGAATTAAACTCCCCGGTGACAAAGCTTGGAGCGATTCAACTTCTGTGGCATCGCGATTGGGGAAGAACTCGTACTTGGTACGAAACAGAGAATTCTTGCAAGCTGTCCCGGATGACGTACCAGCGACTGAGGAGCCACGGGAGCAGACCGCTCGGGGCGGGGAGTGTCCTGTCGCGCCGGAGAGGGGGAGTCTGCTGCTGTGGAGCCCTTGCCTCCTGCGCCAGCTGTTGCACCTCAACAGAATATTCCTGTTGCATGTGGCACAAATTTGGACGGCGGTGATTTTATGAGGAAGACTAGGTATGGTAGGATTGTGAAACCTGTTATTAGATATCAGAGTTGATGTTGCCGAATGAAATAAAACTGATCCCTTGTTCGTTTGGAAATAGGAAGTGTATCCAGTTTACATACGTATCAGTTTTAAGTTTTCAGCTTTAAGGTTCAGCATAGTTTCAATTTTATGTCCTAATTGCTCAATAGTTCTTAGTTAATTTTAGGGCTCAATTTGAGGGGGAAGATGTGTAGAGTTAAGGTGCACAACTTTCTATGGAACCATAATAGAGCGAATAATAGCTGATATGCGATGTGTCTGACATCGTTGTCAGTATGCCTTCTATACTCGTCATATGCAGACTGCTGAACCTCGTTCACGCTTGCCAGTATACGTTCTGTGTTACACTGTGTTTCACTGCCAGCGGTGCGCTGTCTGGTTACCTGTACATGGTGCCCCGGTTCGAACTAAATGCAGGATGGCTCAGTATCGTGCTCCAGATCAGTTGAATTTCGACGAACCGAAATGGGACATTTGGAGGAGCTGCTTCATGACATTCAGGAAAGTGACGAAGCTCGACAGCGAAGACGACGAGATCCAGATTGCCAGCCTCAAATATTGTATGGGCAAGGACGCCGAAGATGTTATGAAGACATTCAGCTTGTCAGTGGAAGAGGAGAAGAGCTTTGAGAAGGTCCTCGGTAAATTCGACGAGTATTTTAAGCCTAAACTGAATATTATTCGGCTGAGGCGACAGTTCCAGCGTAGGAATCAGGAGACCGGTGAGACGGAGGAGAATTATTTAAGAGCCCTCTTCGTATTGGCTGGAGATTGCGAATTTGGAGCGACAAAAAAGGAACGAATTCGTGATCAGTTCGTCGCCGGGATAGCCGACGATAAACTTGTGGAGAAACTCGAACATCTTTACTTGAGCAACCGGGATAAATACACTTCGGATCTGGTCATGGAATTCACTCGGTCTTTCTGTGACGTCAAAGTCGGTCGACGCGCGGAGAAGGGAGAAAAGCCCGCCGAATATGTCTGCGTAGTCAGCGGCAATCGTAAACCAGTGAGCAGCAATCGTCACATCGTGTGCGGCCATCCGCGCATCAACTAGGAAGCGACGTCCGAGGATGTTCCTACTGTGGGTTTAGCCATGGTAGAGGTAAATGCGCCGCGTACGGGAAAAAGTGCGATAACTGTGGCAAATTTAACCATTTCACTAGAATGTGTAAAGACACGAATCTTGCAACGAGAAGCCGTCAAGAGGAGGGCAGCAAAGGTTCGAAGTCAAGTGGCCAAATTCTGGAAGCCACCAACGCGTCACAGGCTCCAGAAGACTACAGTGACGACAGCTTCTTCCTTGGTGAATGTAACATTAAGAATTCAGAGCAGTGGCTAGTAGAGTTGAATTTATTTTGTGACTCGTCTACCAAGATTAGAGTGAATTTTAAAATACACAGGAGCTGACGTTAGCCTTTTAGCTTATAATGATTTCTTACAGCTACGACCTAGGCCTGTTTTAGCAGCGGCACGCACGAGATTGCTTACTCCTAGTGGCGAATTGCAGATTTTAGGTATGTGTCAGTGCTAATTCAGGCCGTTATATACAACCGTTCTGATACCAATTATTTCAGGCCGTTATATACAACCAAGGCGTTCCAAGGCCTCGCTGAACTCGTCCAGAAAATTTCTCTACCTGGTAGAGAGCTCGAATTCCTTTTTCAAGCACTAAAGGTTGTAGAATGACAGGTTAATTAGTTTCAAATATTTGCATTGCATTTATAAATTAAAGAATAATGAATGATAGGGTTTGGATGGAATCTTCGTTTACGGTAAAGTCGTTCATCATCGTCCAAGTAGTTCTTGGTGAATAGACACAATATCAGATATCCAGACTGCGATTAATAATGTATTAGGAAACTAGAACCGGTGCTTGCGCTGATTGCCTCAAGAAATTAGTATCGGTTGATTATTTTTAATTCTTTTTATTACCTTTTTAAAATGTATTCTTTCTAGATAAAGAGACCATATTGCACTGTACCGGGCAAACGCTTTTTTTAAACACTTATCTTTGGAAAGCATTTATAAACAGCTGTTAGTCAAATGTACGCTGTCACTGTGAAAGTTTTGACAACGAAATGACGTTTGTTTTATCATATTTCTTCACGCTGAGCTCCCGTTACTGTCTGAAGTCATTCTTTTCAGAGATGCTTTCTGTCCCATTAATCATATTTATTATGTTTACTAATGGAATGCTGTTTAATTCGATATATATTCCTGTAGATATCAGGAAGGGTTGGTATTAAGAACAACCGAACGAAGATATTACACGCCCGTTGCAACGATACCACAAGTGAAAACCTTTCATTTAGGTATTCATTTCAGCGACAAATTGCATTTTTGCAAGATAAATGTAGCACATTTTTAAATTTGATTACCACTAGAAAGCTTTTCTTCCAGAACTTCTCAATTTAGAGTTTTAATGTATTATATGTTTAGAAAATTTTCTCGTTCATTCATTTGAAGAAATTTTTTGCATGTATGACTGAACGAAATTGCTGTTTGAAAGCCAGGTGATATTTCATTATTACTCACGGAAGGCAGAAAAACATCCTTATATGTTCCAAATAAAGTGCACGAAAGAAAACATTTATTGCGGAAAAATTTGTTTAGTATGATAGACATTTTTAAATACTACACTTCATGGCAACGTACCTCCATTTACATCAAACAATAATACTAAATTATATGAATAATCTTGTTTCAATGTATAAAAAGCGCACCAGGTTTAATTGCGTGATGTCTTGACTTACCGAGCGACTTCAATGCCACCTCATCTATTCAATAAACTTCTTCAGTAGCGGCGATCACCTGGGAGATAATGCATGAAGGTTTACAAATATTACTTGGTAAGTACAGGCTCCTGCAAGTGTTAGGTATAAACTCAAGTTGGATTATAAGTTGAATATAAACTCAACTTTCTAGCGTTATTCCATTGTTCAAGTTTACTTGAAAATACGGTCGTTTTAAATACAACAGCTTTGTCCTAATAAAAGTATTAATGTCACTCATTTGCTCAAGTCGCAAATTCACTTGAACTTCTAGAGCCAAGAAAAGTTCGCTACACTTCTTTGTCTGTAATTTATTTTTAGATTTGGGTTTTAATTTCGCTTATATATGTTCGAGTGTAGCAACCATAATGGCAGTCTAGAATTTTCGAGACACTGAAATGTTTTCCTGAAGATACAGTGAATTTTGTTTGTAACTTTTTGGCTTATAAATTTTGAATTTGTGCTATTCCTGCAATTGGACGCAGTTATTGCTCTAATTGGTACGATAATAAATGCAAAACTCACATTTCTTTAACTCTGAAAAATGGTTATTCAAGGACTCGCTTAAATTCCTGATTGAATATTGGAACGAAGCGATGCCTGTTTTATGAATGGGAAGTTGATGTAGTAATCCGAATTTCTGAACGTCGTCTTACTCGAATAAAAATTTTTTTTCGCCACGTGACCCATCTATGAGGCGAACATGGATTGGTCCAGTAAAAATGATATCTTCTCAGCGGATACAGGCAGTATGATGCTGGCAGTTTTAACTAGTTGTAGCGCTGCACACATCCTGTTCTTCTATATCGGAATCATGTACAGGCAAATAAGCATCAAACTGCAACTTTCGCCTGCTTTTTAAATGTGATTTACTGTTTTATAATTGTCTCGAAGTATTTTAAAGTCATTTTTTTGTCCATGATTTCCCTCATTTTCCCGCAATCTATGAAAATCTACGGGAAAAGTATCGAACATTTCACTATATATCCAGAGCATCCCATATACACGCAGCCGCTTAGATTACCTGCTATCCATATTACTAATAAGCGACAAGTTTCAGGAATTCTATACTCTTGACAAGGTATTCGCATGTTGTATCTGATCTCTTGCGTAAAATTAAGATACTTTTGATGTCTGATCGAAATTAAAAATTACAATAATTTAAAATGTTTTTTAGGCTATTATCG